AGAGATGGGTTTCACCATGTTGACCAGATGGTCTCGGTCTTTTGACCTCGTGATCCACCCGCCTTGGCCTCCCAAAGTGCTGGGATTACAGGCGTGAGCCACCGCACCCGGCCAATGATAGTATTTTTAATTGGGTGGGTATATACCTGAGTGATCATTTACTGAGAGAGATGTTTCCTTAAGACCAGGTGAATGTCTTTATTGGTAATTGTTTACGATTATAAATAATTTCTTAGTAAGTTGACAATGGTTAGGTTTCCCTTCTGCCATCTCTTACAGTTGCTTATGTACTTAAAAAATATCTCTCTAGCTTGAGTGTAAGCATTATGAGATACATAACCCTGGTCTCATGAATCTTTATATCTCTCACATTATGTAGCACGTAGAATCTAGTTGGCACTCAGGAATTTCCTTTAAGATTAATGAATGAGTCCCACTAGATAGTATTCATCTTTGTACCAAGGATAATGTTTTAAAAACCAACATGCATTTATTGAGCATCTACTGTGAGTAAAAAATTGTGAGGAGGAAGAGATGATATTAATAGAAATGTGGCTCAAGCAGTTTATTTAATCATTTATCTACTGAAGGACATTTTTGTTGCTTTCAAGTTTTGGCGATTATGAATAAAGCTGCTATAAGCATCATTGCACAGGTTTTTGTGTGGACACAGTTTTTAACTCCTTTGACAGTGTTTTCTTGCAGAGTAGAAATGTTTCATTTTAATGAAGTCTAGCTCATCAGTTCTTTCATGGTTTGTGCCTTTGGTGTTATATTTTAAAAAATCACCAAACTCAAAATCATTTAGACTTTCTTACATATCCTTTTATAGCAGTTTTATAGTTTTACATTTTACATTTTTTAGGCCTGTGATTCATTTTTGCAAAGGATGTAGGGTCTGTGTCTAGAGTCATCCATTGTATGTGAATGCCCAGTTGCTCCAGCACCATTTGTTGAAAAGACTCTTTTTGTTCCATTGCATGGCCTTTGCTTCTTTGTCAAAGATCAGTTGACTGTATTTCTGCAGTTTTGTTTCTGGGCTCTCTATTCTGTTTTATTGATCTGTCTTTTTTTCCTCCCTAATACCATACTGTCTTAATTATTGTACTTTATAGAAAGTCTTCACATCAGATAGTATCAGTCCTCCAAAATCGTTGTTCTTTTCCAACATCGTGTTACTATTATGGATCTTTTGCCTTTCCATACAAATTTTAGAATCTGTTTATCAATGTCCACAAAATAACTTCCTGGGATTTTGATTGAGGTTGCATTGTATCTATTGATGAATTTGGAAAGAATCCGTGTCTTGACAATATTGAGTCTATCTGTCCATGAACATGGATTATTTTTCCATTTATTTAGTTTTTTGATTTTTTTTCATCAGAGTTGTGTAGTTTTCCTCATATAGATCTTGTACATATTTTGTTAGATTTATACCTAAGTGTTTCATTTTTGGAGTACTAATGCAAGTATATTTTGTTTTAAATTTCGAATTCTACTTGTTAGTTGCTGGTATATAGGAAAGCAATTGATTTTTGTATATCAACCTTGTGTTCTGCAATATTGCTATAATTGCTTGTTCTAGGAGGTTTTCTTAATTGAGTCTTTTGGATTTTCTACTTAGGTGATAATGTCATCTGTGAACACGGAGAGTTTGTTTTTTCTTTTCCCATCTCTATACTATTTTTTGTTGTTCTTTTTTTTTCTTATATTTTATTGCACGTTAGGTTCTGGGACATGCAGGACTGCTGCATAGGTACATACATGGCAATGTGGTTTGCTGCCTCCATCCCTCTGTCACCTATATCTGGCATTTCTCTCCCTGTTATCCCTCCCCAACCTTCCTACCACCCGCTGTCCCTCCCCTCTTCCTCTACAGCAGACCCCAGTGTGTGATGCTCCCCTCCCTGTGTCCATGTGTTCTCATTGTTCAACATCCACCTATGAGTGAGAACATGTGGTGTTTGATTTTCTGTTCTTGTGTCAGTTTGCTGAGAATGATGGTTTCCATATTCATCCATGTCCCTACAAAGCACATGAATTCATCATTTTTTATGGCTGCATAGTATTCCATGGGGTATATTTTCCTTGTCCAGTCTATCATTGATGGGCATTTGGGTTGGTTCCAGGTCTTTGCTGTTGTAAACAGTGCCATAGTGAACATACACGTGCATGTGTCTTTATAATAGAATGATTTATAGTCCTTTGGATATATACCTAGTAATGGGATTGCTGGGTCAAATGGGTTTCTATTTCTAGGTCCTTGAGGAATCACCACACTGTCTTCCACAATGGTTGAACTAATTTGCACTCCCACCAACAGTGTAAAAGTGTTCCTATTTCTCTCCATCCTCTCCAGCATCTATTGTCTCCAGATTTTTTAATGATCGCCATTCTAACTGACGTGAGATAGTATCTCAAAGTGGTTTTGATTTGCATTTCTCTATACCTTTTACACTTTTTTCTAGTTTTAATTAATTGGCTAGAATTTTCAGTATAATGTTGAAAAGAAATGATTAGAGGGGATATTTTTGCCTTGTTTCTGATCTCAGCAGAAAAGCTTGAGTTCTCACTGTAAAGTGTGATGTTAACTGTAGGTTTGTGGTAAATACTCTCCATTTCTAGTTTGTCAGAGTTATTATCATGAATGGGTATTGGATTTTGTCAATTGCTTTTTCTGCATCTATTGTTATTTTCATGTGATTTTTCTTCTTTGGTCTGTTGATATGATGGATTACATCATCTGACTTTCAGATGTTGAACCAGCCTTGCATACCTAGTGTAAATCCCACTTGGTTGTGGTGTATAATTCTCTTGACACAGTGTTGGATTTTTTTTTTTTTTTGAGACCACATCTCACTCTGTCACCCAGGCTGGAATGCAGTGGGGTGATCTTGGCTCACTGCTACCTCTGTCTCCCGGATTCAAGCAGTCCCCCTGCCTCAGCCTCCCTAGTAGCTGGGATTATAGGCATGTGCCCCATGCCCAGCTAATTTTTGTATTTTTAGTAGAGACAGGGTTTTGCCATGTTCTCCAGGCTGGTCTCGAACTCCTGACATCAGGTAATTCACCCACCTCAGCCTCCCAAAATGCTTAGACCACAGGAATGAGCCACTGTGCCTGGCCTACGATGTTGGATTTGATTTGCTAATATTTTATTGAGGATTTTTGCATCTAATGTTTTTGTTTGGTTTTTAACAATAGGAGGATGCTGAAATCTTAAAGTGAGTGAGAAAGTATTTCCTCTGCTTCTATTTTTTGAAATAGATTATAGATATTTGGTGTAATTTCTTCCTTCAGTACATTTGGCAGAATTCACCAGTGAACCCGTCTGGGCCTGGTGTTTTTTTATTTGGAAGTGTGTTAATTATTGATTCAATTTACTTAATGAAGATGGGCCTATTCTGATTGCCTATTATGTGGTTTTTGGCAGCTTGTGTCTTTGAAGGAATTGGTTCTCTTAATCTAGGTTATCAAATTTGTTATTATAGATTGTTCATAGTGTTGCTTTTTTATTCGTTCAATGTCCACAGAATCTGTAGTGATGCCCTTTCTTTCATTTTTGACGTTAATAGTATTTCTTCTATCTTTTCATTTTAGCCTGGCTAGAGACTTGTTGATTTTATTGATCTTTTCAAATATCCGTATTTTGTTTTTATTTATATTCTCAATTGGTTTCTTGTTTTCAATGTTATTATTTCTACTGTACTATTTCTCCTTACTTTGGATTTGTTTTTCTTTTCTAGTTTTCTATGATGGAAGCTTAGATAACTGATTTTAGTTCTTTCTTTTTTTCTAATATATACATTGAGTGCTATAAATTTCCCTGTAAGCACTGCTTTCGCTATATGGTACAAATTTTGTTAAAGTGTTTTCATTTTCATTCAGTTCAAAATATTATAAAATTTTTCTTGATTTCATTATTGAGAAGTATATGGCTTTATATTCACATATTATGGGATTTTCCAGTTGTCTTTCTGTTATTAATTTCTAATTTGATTCCATTTTGATACAAGAGCAGAAGATTTCTCTTCTTTCAAAATCACTGAGGTGTATTTTGTGGCCTAGAATTATTTTCAGTTTTTTTTTGAATAATTCCCAGGGAATTTTTCTCATTTTTATGTGAGGTCAACTGTGCATATGTGAAGATTATTTGTATACTTTATTCAGCATCTTAGTTTTTTTGGTAAAGATTTTCAAGTTTTCTGGTTCTTCATAATTCCATAAAATAAAGGTCTTAACTGATATAATTTATATTACTGGCTGATAGTAAAATTTAATAAGCGTTACTTTTTTAGTTTTTTGAGCTGAGTCTCACTCTGTCCCCAGGCTGGAGTGCAGTGGCATGATCTTGGCTCACTGCAACATCTGCTTCCAGGTTAAAGCTATTCTCCTGCCTCAGCCTCCTGAGTAGCAGGGATTACAGGCACCCACCAACATGTCCAGCTAATTTATTTATTTTTAGTCGAGATGGGGTTTCATCATCTTGGCCAGGATGGTCTTGAGCTCTTGACCTCTTGATCCACCCCCCTTGGCCTCCCAAAATGCTGGGATTACAGGCATGAACCAGCGTGCCCAGCCAATGTTACCTATTCTTAAATATTATCAACAACATTATTATTTTCACAAGTATACAAAACTTTAACATTTGGGTATAATAGATTACAAACTGGTCTATCAATTGAGGAAATGGTTACTGGATATAATACTGTGTAGATTATCTTACAAAAACATAACAAAATATGGCCTATTGAAATAACTGAAAGCATATCACCCTTCTTCTAACTACATGTTCCCTGCCCTTTAAAATCTTTATTTTAAAACTTCTGTTTCCTCAGGGAAACTGGAAAGTGTTGTGACTTTGTAGCTGTTAAACATTGAAAGATATATCTATGGGTGTATATATTTATGTGTAAATTACATGCAACAATGTTATTTATATGCGGATTTAAAAATGTTAAATTCTGCATAAAGTTGTCTATCTTTTTTCCCTTTTGTAGGAGGATACTTCATCGAGACTTAAAATCAAAGAATGTATTTCTGAAAAATAATCTACTTAAAATTGGTAAGATTTTTAAAAATGTGTATATTTTAGATTTGTCATCTCAAATTGAAGTAAATGGTACACGGAAGTGTTAGAGTAATCATTGGTTTATTTAAATTCCTCAATATTTTAAGTATGCATGCTGCTGAAACAAACACTAAATTCTCAGGTTTCTTACCTAATGGGCCCAACACAACCTAATTATTTTGTTTCTCAGTATCTGATATAAATTGAAATATACAAATTTACTACATATTTGATAGCTTTTCAAATATACTTTGAGTTCCCTGCTTCATGCCAGGTACTTTACAAGTTTTTAGAATCATTTATTGGTTTGATTAATTACTACAGGTTTCTTATTTATATTATTTCATCACAAGCAATAAGCAGTTATCATAGATAATTAAAATGTTCATATAATGGCTTTATTAACCTTTAGTTCTTCAGAACTGTACCTCTCCTTATAACAGCTACTAGATCATCTAATCATCATGTAGGGTGTTCTTGGGGAAGGAAGGAAGGAACGAAGGAAGGAATAAAAGCATATGCAACTAGTTAGGCAGGCATAAAGAAGCTGATAGATTCAGATTTTTATAGTCGTGTTCTTGAATAGTCTCAGATCTTTTCTTTTAAACTCTCCTTTATTGTAAATTTAAGAACAAATTCTTCTCCCCTCAGGTGAAACTATATATCATCTTATTCAGTTTTTCCAGAATCCTTCTGTTTGCCATTATTCAGACTTGAAACAGCTTTTTATATCAAGTTATCTAGTTTCCTATAGTTCCAGAAATAAAGAATTTTAGCTTACATAATTCACTTTTCTGGCTCAAGTCTTCCTTCTCCTATAAAACTTATGTTTTAAAGCTATTTACCAGCATTGTATAATTTAAGATAGATTACTTTTCTTTCCTGTTAAAATGGTATAAACCATTGCATAATAAAATGGTCACATTAGGCACTCATTCAGTTGTTAATTTCCAGGGCTAATTTTTTTGTTGGTTTAAAGTATTCATAAGAATTAATTATTATTTCAAGGAGATTTTGGAGTTTCTCGACTCCTAATGGGATCCTGTGACCTGGCCACAACTTTAACTGGAACTCCCCATTATATGAGTCCTGAGGCTCTAAAACACCAAGGCTGTGACACAAAGTCGGACATCTGGTGAGTGGGCTGTGGGCTAGATTCTTCATCTGCTGCCCTGAAAGAATGGTACATTTTGTCTTTCAGCTCATTTACTTACTCCATACATTTCCTTTATCCCTTTGACATGAATCATTCTGTGACCAGAGTAAAAGAAGGTCTTTTGCATTTAGAACTTGATATATTTCACTAAACTAGTTTCAAAAATTCTCTTTATTCATTGATTAATTGGTTTTGGATTTTTGGTTCTTGAATCACAAGGGAAAGTTCTTAGGGTGCCATAAGCATTAAATTTTAATATATTTCTGTTAACTTATTAAAGTATTTGTAACCCTAAATACTGTGCTTATTTTATTTTAAGGTTAACTTCCATCTCTGTGGAGAATGTACAGCGTTTCTGTTTTTTTTCTTTTTTTGTTACTTTTAAGAATTTTACTAGAGATATTGGCTTTAAGGTAAACTTTTAAAATTTCTAGATTTTCAGTGATAAATGATCTGAGATGTCTCAGTTTCTCTGAGCCCTTATATCAGAGGAATTTCTCCTTGCTTGTTATGGAACCAGGTGAAATCTCACTGCAGAAGCCATGTGGAAAATTGCACTCAGTGTGTCCTAATGTAAGCGATAGAATGTATTTCTTTTCCTTTGAAGAGGAATCTTATTACATAATTTTCTGCTTGTTAAGTGTTGAAAGAACAATCTAGCTGAGGGCTTGTTAAGTAAGTAAATAATTATTATATGCAAATCGACATAAATAGTTCTGAGCTTTCAAAGACAAGCAGTGTAGGCTGGACACGGCGGCTCATGCCTGTAATCCCAACACTTTGGGAGGCTGAGGTGGGTGGACCATGAGGTCAAGAGATGGAGACCACACTGGTCAACATGGTGAAACCCCATCTCTACTTAAAAAATTACAAAAATTAGCTGGGCATGGTGGCACACACCTGTAGTCCCAGCTACTCGGGAGGCCGTGGCAGGAGAATCGCTTGAACCCAGGAGGCAGAGTTGCAGTGAGCCAAGATTGCGTCATTGCACTCTAGCCTGGGCAACAAGAATGAAACTCTGTCTCAAAAAACAAACAAACGAAGACAAGCAGTGTGAAACATGTGTTCACTTCATTCTTCTAAAGAAGACAAAGTAGAAAATTACATTTTCTCTGGTTAGGGAAAAGTGAACCACAACAGGGGGTATGGCTTAGGATTTAAACAAGGGTCATTATCTGTTCTTTGTTCTCATGCCTACCAAATGGGAGAGAACATTGTCAAGATTAGGTCTGGCTATGGCAATTCCCCATGAATCTTGTCCTTTCAATTCAGTCTTAGAATCGTTCATTTCTAAATTATTCACTGGGTTTTTCATCATTGGCTTACTTCTGCCCTGAGGTCTTTTCCAATTTACCTATCATCTTCCCTCTTCTTTCCTCCTAACCCCCTTAACCACCACATCCAAAAGAAAAAGACAAACCAAACCAAACCAAACATCACAAAGGTATGTTTAGAGGAATCACTAATGAGTTCCTTTCAATTTTGCTTTATTGAGCATCTGCTATTTGCCCAAGACTGTAATATCCCTTAGGGTATAAAGCAAAAGTGATAGGATTCCTACCAGCAGGAGAAATCTTGCTTCTTTTGGAATTCCTTTCTCTATTTTGAGAAATCAATTTTGGGCTTTGCTGTATATTGAATTTCAGTTATGTACCTATATATCTCTTCACATTTAATTTTTAAAATTAATATTATAGATGTTTAAAAATAGATTCAAATATATTTCTTTATAATTCAAGGTTATATGGTATCTCAGGAATATGTTATGTCATTTGAGTTAAGAGTAAGTTAATTTACAAAGCCTATCATTTAAGTTTTGGGAATTATATGTAACAAACTTGGCTCCTTTTGACAGGCATCTATATCTGCCTGCCAGATCAGATATCTATCTCCTGGGAAATGGAGGCAGCAGAAAGCATAGAGGAGAGGAAAGCATAGAGTGTTTGTCTCCGTTATGTCAGTGTTATTTCTTTTTAAAAAATTGCTCCTACTATTACATATACAATTATGGGATATCAGACAGTATTGCTGTATTTTAGGATTACAAAAATGTCTGACTCAAGAAAAGAAAAACAGCCAAAACCTCCAAAATATGCCCACGCAGGAGTTTAATGTGTTTCTCTGAGCATTAGGTTAGCTCTCCTTGCAGAGATAAACTTTTCAGCAAGTACAAGCTTAGGATTCATCATCATCCTGACCCCTAATAACCACCTTATCATGGATGTAGTAATTACCCTGGTTGTATCAGAATCAAAATGGGCTAATCTGGTGATGAAAGTTCTATTGCCAAACTTAAAATAGAAAGAATAAGAGAGAACTATTAATTATAGTGGCAGATACATACGTGTGAGGAGTAATTTTTTGAAGACACTCTTAGAAAAATTAGATTGAATGAGGTTGAGAACCTGTCTCTGAATCTTAGTGTGTAGCATCTGTTTATTGTGGAATTTTTTTTTTTAGGATTGGAAACACTTGTGAATAATTGACAGGTGCTTTGTTTTAGCACTACTAGCTGTATATATATTTATAATGCTTAAAGGAGAACTGGCCTAATACTGATTATGTTTTCATCTGCTAATGTTTGCCCATATATAACATTGTCTTCATTCTACAGTCTGTTAAACTTTTCTGGCTTCATTTATTTATAGCATTCAGTACAGAAAGTCCTTCTCTTGAAAGTGGGTTAGGTTCCAGAAGTTTATAAAGTTATTTGCAAAGTTAGGATAATTAGGTTTACTGAGGACAATGCTTTGATCGCAGATTGTATAAGCAATTGTTGAATATTTTTATTCTCACAGGAGGAATACAAATATGAGTTGGGTTCCTAGGCCAGCTCATTAAATTGATTTAAACTGTGAATAGTTAGAGTATATTATTTTGGTAGGAGAAACAAATAAAGGACAATATTATTTGAATAATGGTGCTACAATTAAACAGAAAGAAAACAAAATTTCACTGTTGGCCTTATTTATTTTGTTATGAGAAGCCCACGAGATGGCTCTTTCATCTTGTAGTCCCATATTTTTTGGGCAATTTAAGTAAAGGTAACAGTGGTAGGAATATTGGCATTATCAGAGTGTTCTGCGATGCTCTCAGGGTTTTTCTGATGTGGGGCGGAGGTAGGTTGGGTGGGGGACAGAGAAGGAGTCTAGTTCATGCCCAACATTGGACTTAGGCTTTAGTGATCTTGGGGCAGAAGTGTCAGACCAGGATTAGCTATGGGTAGAAAGAAACAGGAGAACCAGCACCTGCCTGACCTGCCAGGACCAAGAACGTATCCTCACAGAACCTCTGCAGGGTGGACAGGGAAGGGGTGGGGACAACAGCCTATTTTTTGGAGAAATACAGTAAAACTTGGCAGCATTTCCTGAAATTAAATGGGGCTGTCTAGTAGCTGGCAGCCAACAGCTTCATTGGCTGCCTCTTGGTAAAGAAAACTCTGGAGGAAAAGAATTCTTTTTTTTTTTCACTTGCCCCTGACCTAGGAAGTTCTTGTATGGTTCAAAGCAAACTGTTGACCTGGGAGTTTCCTAGGGAATAAGCACTGGTGTCATTATTATCATCCAATAGAAGCTTAGGTGAGAAACCATTTCAGTCAGGTGAATATATTTGAGCATTTATATATATTTTTTCAATGACCAGCATGAAATGATTGATACAAACTCTGTATATAGTGCTAATTTGGCCTGATGAATTTTAAAAGGGCTCATAACAAAGCTAATAAATGCTTATTAAATTGCTATTGATGGAGGAGGGCAGTGAAAGATGGGTAAATAAGGACCCCATTGATCATGCCCCTCCCTAGGAACACCAGGTTTAAAAAAATTTATATTTTTAATTTTTGTGGGTATACAGTAGGTATATATATTTATGGGGTACATGAAATGTTTTGATATAGGTATGCAATTCATAATAACCACATCATGGAAAATGTGGTATCCTTCCCCTCACGCATTTATCCTTTGAGGAAGACCAAGTTTTACAACTATCTACACAAAGGGATCACCTTCATAGGAACCAAAAATCAGGTACCAGCTCAGCCACAGTGGTGTAGAGGACCAAGTGAGATCTGGGGTCCCTGATTCTGTGCCTTAGCTCTTGGATAGCATTTCTGGACCTTCCGTGGTCCAGAGGGGAGCCCACTGCCCTGAGAGGTGAGTTCCAGGCCTGGCCGTATTCACCACAAGCCGAAGGAGGAGTCGTGGGCCTTAATTAGCATCAGTGGTAGCCTGAGAGTATTCCCTGTCGTGGTGGTGGCCATGGGGTGAAGCTCCTCTGCACATAGAAAGGGGAAGTGAAGAGTGAGAAGGACTGTGCCATGTGGTTTGAGTGCCAGCACAGCCACAGTAGAATAGAACACCATGCAGATTTCTAAGGTTTCTAACTCCTGTCCCTGGCTCTGGGAGAGCATCTCTGGATCTGCCTGGGACCTAGGAAACTCATACCCCTCAAGGAAAGGACACAAACCTGGCTGGCTTTGTCATCTGCTGATTGTAGAGCTCCAGGGCCTTGAGCAGATGTAGGTAAGAGGAAGTGGTTACATGGGCCTTGGGTGAGACCTGGTGCTGTGCTGGCTTCCAGTCTGAACCAGTGCAGTCCCAGTAGTGGTGACCAAAGGAGTGCTTATGTCACCCCATCCCCAGTTCCAGGCAACTCAGTACAGAGAGACTCCATTTGTTTGGGAGAAAGTAAGGGAGGAGAACAAGAGTCTTTGCCTGATAATCCAAAGAATTATTCTGCATCTTATCTATGACCACCAAGGAGGTACCTCTACAAGTCTGTAAGAACTACAGTGTTACTGGGCTTGGGGTGGCTCCAATGCAGATGTAGCTTAGATCATAACACCCAAGTATTTTTAAATACCTGGAAAGCCTTTCCAAGGAGGATGGGCACAAACAAGCCCAGATTGTGAAATACTATAATAAATACTTAACTCTTGATGAACATACACAAGTATCAAGACCAACCAGAAAAACATG